CGCTGTAACAAGTCGGCATTTTCCTGTTAAAATGTCAAGGTTTTGTTATTTCAAAAAATTTTTTAGACCATGATGAATCATTTCAAACCCTTTTCCAACTTTAATGTGACATGCAGGCAAAAAAAAGATCAAAACTACAAAGATAAGAAACCTCTTGCATAACTGTGCACACCCTTAGTTTAATACTTTGCCTGAAGCATCTTTAAATTTAATGACAGCTTTCAGTTTTCCTAGAACACATTTTTCATAAAGGCCATCCAACAACATTTTCCTGACAGTTACAATTTACAACAAAACCTACATGCTCAAAAAGATGTTCAGGATGATTCAGACAGAATTTGTAAAAATACAAACTTGTTTTAAGCTTAACAAATTATCCCTAAATTTGGACAAAACAAACTATATGATATTCAGTAATAGAAAAAGAACGGTGTGGAGATCTGTAAAGTTAGTGAAGTAAAGTTTTTGGGTGTTATTATTGATGAAAACCTGACCTGGAAACCTCATATAAATAACTTAAGAACAAAAACAGCTAAATCTATTGCAGTACATAAGGTAAAGGAGTTATTAAACACTGTTTATATGACATAATGCAATAATTGTTCCACACTTGATTTATCGTGTTGAAATTTGGGGTAAGGCATGTAAAACATTTACAAATTCTATTCTTATTCTGCAAAAAAGAGCTATAAGAATTGTTACCAGAAAACATCATAGTCACCCAATGTATTGTTTCAGCTATTGAAATAACTAAAATTTTATGAGTTGGTTGATTATAAGATTTTGTTGATTATGTATAGGGCTTGTAAAGGTGTGTTGCCTTTGAATATTCAATCAAATTTTTATTAAGAGGGAAAGTTGTTATAATTTGAAAGGATTCGGAATGCTCATAAAACCTAAAATTCGAACAAACTTGAAGGATAGATGTACCTCAGTTCAAGGAACAAGATTGTGGAATAACTTGGACAGCGATTATAAAAATGCTGACTCGATTAATTTATTTGGTAAAATGATAAAAGTTAAATTATTGAAAAAATGTGAAGCTGATGTTTGAGAGGTTAATCAAAAAAAATTTGTTATGCTGATGAGGGTGTAAAATTATATATGTGCATATATATATATGTAGATAAAAATGTGTGTATG